AGAAAGGAAAGAGAAATGCCAAGGCGGCAGAATGAGGCGGCGATGTGGATGATTGACCATGTATGCGAGGCTTTCGCGACACCCACCTGTGGTTTTGTGCCCACCTCCCCTGACACCGTTTCCTCCTCGGCATCCATATCAGAGGCAGCCAGGACCTTTTGGAGGAGCTGCTGTTGCTCTTCTCTGGTGGAGAACATCAAGTCTTCTTCCTCCATTCCTGCCAACTGTGTGATCACCTAGGAACCGTACACGGTTTTGAGATGTCAAATGGCCATTTGACATGACATTTGGCTGTGGGCTGGGGCTTATCCCACCCCACACCCTTTCGTTACCAAGCTGTCGCTCGGTAATGAGATCCAAAGTCAAAGTACCACTGTGTACAAGAAAGGCAGCATCCATGTGTGGAAGATTTCAAATCTACCTTAAAGCTGTAGCCTTGGTCCACTAGAAACCTCTGCCTCTTGGTGGAGTACGCCATCTCCTGGGTGTCCTGAGACACCAGCGAATAAAAGAATGCATTGTATTCCTCTGCGACCATTCCTAAGAAGGAACACAGGCGGTGTGAGAGCGGACATTTGTGCATAGAAGACCATATACCGTGACAAAACGAAAGAACGAACCTTTCTTGGCTCTTAGCACTCGACCAAGTCTCTGGGCCTCCTGCCTCCGTGACCCACCATGAGAGGAGATTTGGATCAGAACATTGGCCTCTGGCAAGTCAAATGAGGTGTCTCCAACCTGTTGGTTGCATAAACAAACAGTGCATTGGAGTTTGGTCGATACTTTCTACTAAATTACATTTCTACTGTTGTAACATTTCAATAGATCTCTCAAGTGCAAATTTTGAATGCAAATATGCTCACTATAATATTAGGCATAAAATTTCTCACACACACATGCACGCCCACCCATACAATAATGGTGTTTTTACCAATAATCCCAATGTTGTTATCGTTGCACGTAATAGTTGTAATCGGAATTGAATGTCAATGACTTGCACAGCCCGACAAAAACCCATTCTCACTTTGTTACCTTGGAGATAAAAATGGTGTTGATCTTGGGATTGTGTTTGAAGTTCTGCAAGATCTGCATACGTTCCCCTTGGGAGGTGGGGCCGTAGATGTAGGGCCTTGAGCAGATAAATTACAGAGCAATTCACTCGTGAAATACTGTATTTAAAAAAAAAAAAAGATTTGGGGTGAAAATACATACTTGTTAAGGCGGATTGCGTATTCTTTCAAGGCAAAGACATTATCGGCAAAGACAATAATCTTGTCATTGCGCCGCTCATGAAAGCGAATGAGGAACTGGCACGCCCGGAACTTATTGGGATTCATGGTATAAAGCAAGATGCGCTTCTTAGTTTTGATGGCCACGTACTCTCTGTAAAACTCTGGAGACATCGGGCACCACACCTGCAACACAGACATTCACATTTAGAGCAAAGTGCCCACAATCAAGAACCCCCTCAGATGCAGTTTAGCTTGTTCACCTCGGCGCACTGGACTTTGGCGATGTAGCCGTTGCTCTGCAACTCCATCCAGTTGGCTTCATAAAGCTTTGGCCCAATGAGGAAGTTGAGGTCCACAATCTTGTCATCTTCCCGAACTAAAGTCGCAGTGAGGCCCAATTTGCAATGTGCCTGGACGATGGTCAGCACACTCCGAAACATTTTGGCTACAAAGAGAAACATGGTATCAGCAGGGGATCTCACAACATTTCTTTGGCAAGGCAACAGGATGTGTGATCGGGATAAACCTTACCGGGAATGGTGTGAACCTCATCGAGAATAATAAGACCCCATTCTTGGCTTTTCATCCACTCCATGACCCTCTCGGCTTCCCAGGAGCGCTTGGTGCTGTGGCCCAGCATGGAGTAGGTGCTGATGGCCACTGAGCAACCGATGGGCTTGTCCTTGGCATCGGAGGTGAAGCGGCAGATCTGGGAGTCATCGATTGTGGACCACATCTTGAACTGGGCCTTCCATTGCTCCACGGACACCGAGGAGTTACCCAACACCAGGCAGCGTTTGCGAACCGTGCACGCTGCTGTCACACCAACGAGGGATTTGCCCGCTCCTGGAAAGCGGGACACGGACAAAACGTTGTGACCAGTTAGTCTATGCAAACACACAAAAACAGTCAGCTTGCACTGAGAAACATTTTAAATGTCTCTTTTTACAGTTAAAAAATACTTATAACTTTTTTTTTTTCGTCATTCCATCTTCCCTGACCAACAGCATTCTCACCGCAGGGCAGCACAATGACTCCGGAACGAGCGCGTCCATTGCCAAACATCTTGCGCAAACTTTTTTCCTGGTACGGTCGTAGCACGGCCGTCGGCTTCAGGTCTATGTTGATATCCGGGTTGACGGTATCGTTCCGAAAGTCATACTCGGCGAGGAGCGGGTATTCCAGCTCAATGCAGCGCTTTTGTAGCGCCTCAATCATCTCCTACACAAAACCACAACGTTCAGGTCAAGTTGAAAAGTCACAAACGAGGTTGCACACTGAGCGTACATCACCAATGAATTTCAAAGTTTCCATCAGACAGCTATCCTTACAAAAGTGTTACATCCCCTTGCGCGCCACGCGACTGCATTTGGCTCGGAACCGACGAGCTTCCGCAAAAATATGTACGTACACCGCACCTGTTGAATCTCAAAAGACACGGTCTGAGTCTCTTCCTCCTCCTCTTCCTCCTTGTCCATCTGCTCATAGTAGCTGAAGATGTCTTCGGGGACCTGTTGGTCTGACGTTTGACCATCAGTGGGCTGCTGTGAGGTGGAAGCACCCCCTTTGTCCTCAACAGTCTTGGAGATCTGTTGAAAAAAATGCATTATCGATTTGTTTTCTCCATGAGTGCAGTTGGACATTTAGATACAGCAGCTGAAAAAAATATCGGATGTGAAAATAGATCAATCTTGGTTCCCGCCATCAGTTGTTTTTACACTGACCGAGTTAAATTAAAGAGTTTTGGACAGAAGGTCGTAATAGCGGGCATACCGCTGACTTGCTGCGGATGACCTCTGTAATGAGCTCGCCGTCTGTCCCATCGGGAGCACAGAGCCGACATTTCCGGATCTTGTCGTCCTGCAGGAGACGCTGGATCACATCAGGGAATGTGCTCTCAACAAAATACCTGAACAGACGTGCAGGTAAAAAGTAAAATAAAGAGCAACCAAAATAATAAAATGGAATCGTTTGGAAGTGGCTCGAACCTATTATGCTTGAGCACCAGCTTGACTTTGCCATAGCTCACAGTGCAGAGCTGGGGAAAAAGAAATGTCAAATAATACAATACAAAAAAAAGGCACGCTGAAGACATCATCATCTCACTGATTGACTTGAAGGTAAACAACCCCGAAAGAAGCTGTTAAATATTTGTTACTTGAAGGTAGCTACTGTGACCTCGATGCCATTCCTTAGCCCTTTAATGCCTTTTTGCATTCTGATCTAAGTTAGCATTACATCATGTCTAATTCCCTCTATGCGTTTGTCTGTCTGTGTTTAGATTTTTAAAATAAACTTCAACTGGAATGCCGGTGTACAGATTGAAGCAAGGTTGGTATCCAGTGTAATATCAAAACATTTGTAAAGGTCCGAGTACCAGTACTGTCCTCCTGAGATCAATATCGGCGCACCGGTAATTCATACCTTAATAAATTGCACAATTCCATCAGGCACGGAGGTCTTGCTGAGTTTCTGCAAATACTCCACTATGTCAGAGGTCTGCAGCCCCACACTGACAGCAGCATACAGTGAATATGCTGTTAGTTTGTATTCGTGGATGTGGTTGGGCCTGCACACCGGCTCCGCAATGGCCACCAAGAAATCCTGTGCATACTTATAAACTGGTGAAAACGCTTCGAGAAAGATGTGTCCATCTGGAGCCTGCAGGAGGCAAAATAAACTACAAATGAATGAGAGCAATGAAGAACCTTGAATTAATTCTGAAAGTCTGAAAGGCGATCTTACCACCCAGAGGGGTCGTGAGGAGTGGTCATTCTTCAGAAGCATCTGAACACGATAGTCTTTGGCTCCATATTCGTCTAGTTTGGTGCTGGATTCATCCACTTGCTTCCCCGCCGCAGCAGGTATGGCATCCTGCGACTTGCCACTCACCACGTCTTCATCATCTTCCTCCTCCTCATAGAAACGCTTTTTGGATTTCTTCTCTGTAGACCGTAACATGTTTGTTGACAGATGACAACACACAATCGTCCCAAGGCTCGAAGTATGCAATGTGTAAATTCAGACATTCACAAACCAAATGCAGTGTAGTGTGAACACGCGATCAATAGTGTCAGCATACGAGACAAAGTAAAGTAAACTAGAGGTACTAAACTGCAGTAACAATGTTGACAATATCCACGTCGATGGCAGCATTTTATAAAATTGTACACAATACATGTGCACAATGCATTTGAAAGGTCGCGTCTTTCTCGAGCCTGAGATATCGTGTCTAATTAGCAGGCTGAAACATAACAATTCATGAACTCACCACGATCCCCTTTATCTTTTTTCCCCATTTTAGCCGCCGCTTCCAAGTCCTTCTCACAATGAATCGTTGTCGGCAGAACAGCGGAGTCGATAACGTACAGTTACTGTCGTCGCTTTCGAGCCACCATGGCAAATTGTAGAAAACACATTTTCTTATTTGATGTCAATAGTGGTTGGCAATCGCGGTAAGGTACACTAACGCCACCTACCGGAGTGGAGTGTGCGCGTGTGTGATTTTTTTAAATGTTCACTACGCCTCTCACATGGCATTTATAGATAACAGTATCACACACGGCTCTGATGTGCGTTTGAGATCACTTCTAGAAAAACAGACAAAAGCCAAATAATTTGAGACTGAGAACCCAGCTCGCCTCGTGTCACGTCTTAATTCTCTCACATGCTGAGAGGTGCTTGGATTTATTCTAGTATAAGTGTGAGTTTAATGTTTTATTTTTTTCAATGAAAACAGGAGGCACAAAAGTCAAAGAGATACACATTAGTATAAGTGTGAGTTTAATGTTTTATTTTTTTTTCAGTGAAAACAGGAGGCACAAAAGTCAAAGAGATACACAAGAATAAAGTGGATAGCGCAGCATACATTTTCACCAGCACAAAATTGCTCTCTGTAAATACTGTCAGAAATGAAATAACATTTTGATACAATCTATAATATCATCCTCATCACTTTGTCTGGTAGTCCCAACTATACTGGAGTGTAATTTACATGCTTTACATGTTGACAAAGTGGATATTTTACTTCGCTAAAACGTATACTGATGCTTACTCAATTATAAGTGACTAATTTCCCTGAGGGATAAAAAATCCATGCATGTCCTTATGGAGTTCAGTGTTCACATAACCCCGAGCTACTTCCTTGAGTGTCCTGCCATCAAGAACCAAGATGAAGTTCAACTGGCCCGGATTGGTGTTGATTACAGATGATAAAACCACACCTAGAAAAAAAGTAAGACCATGACATCAGTCGTACCCACTCATAGTCAAAAAATCTTTCCCCGCATTGAATACAACTGGTGCAGGTGTACTTAACTAATAAAAAATCTTTCCCCAGGCTCCGACTGAGTCTGCAAGACTTTACCTCCTGCTTATTGTTTTGGTTGTCTTTTGCAGCGGTACAAAACAAAGCATTGAATACAACTGGTGCAGGTGTACTTAACTAATGTAGTGACGGATCTATTTTCCACATAACGTACCCGTTCACCGCACAGTAATGCTTACCATCATCCTCTGACTCGCCATCGGGCCTGGGCACAAACACTGCCTCGGATGGCCAGCAGTTGTCTTCACTCCAGGTCAACATTTGCTTGCTTTCGGTGTCAAATTTCATAATCTACAGCAAAAGATCAGATGCCAATTTTAGAGGAAAGATATAACCGTGGAACGGGATGAGTGAACTCGGATGAAAAGGATGTTGTGGTTTTTCAGTCGGAAGAATTAAACATTATCCTGTTGACCCAAAAGAGGCGAGTGCGCGTGCACGTTTCCTCTCTCTGACGTCAGCGCGGGTATTCGGGCATCCGGTCAGAATGAGGGGAAGTTCTTTCAAGTATATTTTCTGTACCACTCAAGCCTAATGGACTTCCTTTCTTCCCATTGTTTGTGTTAGCTCTGCGCGTAGCTTTGCCAAATGAAGACAACCCATGGGGACAGTAACCAAGGCCAAGTGGGGTTGGCTTTTTGTTTGAAAAACTTCGAAGTCGACAATTAATAGGTTCCCACCTTGTGGTTTTGTCATTGATGCCACTTGGGGGAAACAATGTTACTGTGAACAATGCACTTCCTGACTTTGGAATCTCTGCTGATTCAAAATGGCTGGCAAGTCAACGGAATTCCAATCGTTGTTGCATTTTGTCATTGCAAAAGAAAAGAAAGCCCAAATGTTACCTCTTTCGAGAGCGCCGATTCCTCGACGCAGTTGCCATACACGAAGCGATGTCTCTTGGTGTTAAAATCGTAATTCATTCGTGGCAAGTCAATCCCTGACGAAGAGAAAAATGGGAGTGTTAAAGAGCTAAAAACACAACTCACGGAAGGTCACCGAGACACCGGCATGACGTTTACCTCCACAGAGCACCTCCGCTCGGCATATGAGTTTGCCTTCTTTCTCTTTCACCGCCGTGGCAGTGGTGCATGTGACTTTCACCAGGTTTTCTCCGATCGCCGCGCCCTGCACACCGAATACGGCTCAGCGTCCCCTTTGGGGGTTCAAGTCAAAAACGGCATATGGTCTCCTTACCTTGTTTGCTTGAACGGGAAGCGCAAATCTCTTATAACTTGGTTTGGAGTAGTTTTCGTTGCGAGATCCCGGCGTTTCCTTCAGATTTCTCACATAAAACATGTCATACAGGCCGTTGTCCTTGTAGGCGATGACATCAAATATGACGCAGCCGTCGACCTCGAAAGCATTCACGTGATGGTAGACGACCATAGCTTCAGTGTAGTACTTAGTCTCCACCGCTTTGCCTGTCTTTCTGTCTATCAGGTGAATCAGAGTCTGAAAGGGGATAGAAAACAGATTTTTAGGATCATTAACTTCCAAGTGTTCGGTGGTGCTCGATTAAAGGTGGTGCTTGCATTTTCTTCTGGACAAAACTTGAGGCAGCTGGCCCAGTTGACTCCCCTCATGTAGGCGGTGGCCATCTTGAGGATGTCCAGTTTGAAGGGCTGCTCGATGAAGACGAAGTAGTTCTCTGTCATGCCGAAGCTGTGGTAGTAACTCGGCGTCAGGAGGGAACGGCAGGGTACTGAGCAGATCACCTCTGCATTCTTCAGAGCGGGGACTTTCTTGTCTTTGTCTGTGTGGGAAAAGGTGGGGGGCGGGGAATCTGTGCATAAAGCAGACCTCAAAAACCTCTCTGGAGGTGTCATCCAAGCACTTGAAGTAACTTGACTGCTTGAAAAAGATGTCATTTTTTTTATTTTCTCTGCACGTCTGACCTTACATACAGAAGTGATGTACAGTCTCTTGTCAGGGGTTGTATTGCATTTTGACCGCAGATAAGGATCCGACCAGTTGAATTATAGAGACAAAGTAGAGCGGGTCATTATTTACCTTTCTGCGAAACAGCGGGGACTTTGAACAGCAGGTATTTCGTCTTGCCCTTTTCGGCGATACAAGTACCCATGTTGTAGGCGTTACCCTCCTTGTCATAGTGCGGATGGGACGTCGCCAAGTTCACAGGTACAAACTTCATATAGTCCACCTGAGAGGAAAAACAATATGTATGCTTAATGCACTTCATGAAAGCCATCCCTTTTTTAGACGGATGAAGCTTACCTTATCCTGAGTTTCCAGAGTGACTGGGTCAATTTTGCGAATGTAGTTGGTTTCTGAGGTGGCGAAATAATCCTGACCGTATTTGATAAAATTGCTGGCACCATTGTCTGTGAAGTCAGGCACTGTGTGGTTGAGGAAGGTGATTGCCCTTGAAAGAAAGACAAAAATATGACGACAAAAGACAAAACCGACCCAGAGACAAAGAGGGATGGAAGGAAAGTTCAAATTAAATATGGGATTGTAAAGAGGATCAAGGGAGGAAGCAGAAACTGCACCCAGAGACAAAGTGGGATCGAAGGAAAGTTCAAATTAAATATGGGACAGATTGTAAAGAGGATCAAGGGAGGAAGCAGAAACTGGAAAAGGAAACACCAGCCACAACAATATGACTGCTTGAGCATTATATCCAGTGGAAGAATTGTCGCTGACATTATTGATCAAGATAAGGTTTTGGTTCCCTCAATCAATTGCACAGGAAGTCAAGATATCAGGACTGACTCACAGTGTGATGTGCTGCAGTTCTACACACGCACCAGGCAATCAACAGTAACGCATTATTACATTGCTGTGCATCTGTACATTCCAACATAAGTTGGGAATCATCAATCACACTTGAAATTGTCTCGACTTCAAGTGCGGAAAGTGCAATCTGCCAACACAAATACTCTTCAAACTCAAGTCACTTAGTCAAGATTAGGATCGAGAGTGACGCTTACTTGACAATGAAGTTTTTGCTCGGGTCAGGGTAAGCCATTGTTCCCATTTCAGACACAACAATTCGGTTGGACTCCATGTTGGCTTTGTAGGTGTCACTTCTCAGGAACCGACTTCGGTGAGTCACTTCACCTGTGACGGTGCAACGACAACAGCAAAAACAGTCGGTCAATTAATTATTCATTAAAAGGAAAAGTCATGCGAGGCACGAACCATCCTTGAAGGAGAAGCTGTGCATGATGGACATGCCATCAAACCAGTGGTCGTAGCTGGTATCGCCCACCGAGAAGATCCCGGGGCCATTGCGCAGTAATGTGCCTCGCAACCAGGAGGGGATGTTCCCTTAAACCAAAGGAAAATAATAAAAGAATGACTCATGCAAATGTTTTCTGATGCCAAGCACACAGACTAAAAATAAAAAGAGAAACTACCTTTCACTTCTGCCTTCAGAGGCTCTGGCCGCTCTGTTGCATTTTTGCAAAAGTCCATGTTGACAGAGAGTGCAAGTGAAGGTGTCGGAATGAACAGACCAACATGCAAACCGGTCCTTTTAAAGCCCTTTGCGAGGGGAGGGACAAGAGGAAGAGTTATCTCATTGGCAAGCGGGACCATAAATACGAGCAACATACGCGCTACCTGTGTGTGTGTGTTTGTATATAATGTACATTTTATATATAATATATATATATATATATATATATTATATATACACACACACAAACAGTGATAATTTTACAGTTTGACCCCTGCGAGTCCCAGGGACTCGCTGATCAGAAAAGTATGAGTCCCATTATGCATTTAGAGAGTCCCAAATTTTGAATTCTGAAATTGTCTACTTATTCAATTGCATATGATAATAACACAAACAACAACAAATTGTGTAACTCGCATGATTATGATGAAGCTGCGTATCTCGTCTTTAATGCACTTTTGTCTTACTCACGATGTCTTTTTCAGGGGGGCACCACCATTAATTAACTGTGTCAATGAGGATCACTTTTACTATGATTGCTTGACATTTAGATTCCTCAATAACTTTCTGAAGAGAGGACATGAAGCCTGTCTTGTATTCACAGTTCCTGCTCCTTATCATAGTTAGATGGGGCCTATTTGGCACATAGCAGTAGTAGTAGTTTGATAAGCTGAGTTTGAGCTTGGCCGTTGTGTCACTGTGACCTTCTCTCCAGGTTCCGCATCTTCCTAGCAATCTGCACCCTTGCACATTCAACATTTGAAAGCAGTTGAGACCATGGAGTCACACATTGTCACATGGGCTCGGCCAGGCCGCCCCATCCCCACCTGCGGGGGAGTTTTCGAGTGAGTATAAGAGTCAGCACCATTTTGAATAGAATAATGCTCCACGGCTGTATCTCAATTTTCTGGCAAACATGAAATAGTTCAAGTGGGAATGTACGGTTTTGTGGCCACCACGATTAATGGAGCGAGCGGTCCAAGGTTCCCGCAGAACGATGACATATGTGTGGAATTCCACGAAACTCACTCAGTAACAATTACATAAGTGGTACCTGTTTACAAGGCACACTATAAGTCTCAACCTCGCTTGCTATTCACATAGCAACACTGCAAATCAGTCAATCAATCCATATATAAGCAAAATCATGGTCAACCTTTCGCAACTCTCGTCACCATTTCTCACTGGATTCAGACGTAAAATGTCACTTGAGTTCGTTTCACTGATCTCCATTTTAAGGGAGTTTGACACACTTGCGCAGGGTTAAGTAATGAACTTCGTAGAAGTTTGATTTCGAGAAACAGTTGCCGGGCCAGATTACTTTATTGCTTTGCTGTATCGCAATCAATTATAAGATAAGATAAGATAAGATAAAACCTCTCTCTCACAATGGAGAAATTCCCAATTGACAGCAGCAAAATTATGAAAGGGAGACAATCCAATCACTACAAGCCTACTTTTGGCATGAAGCAGAAAGAGGACGCAACTTTACGATCTCAACAACCAAGTTCATCACCAGTTGTTTACCTTTCTAATCAAATGAGTTTACTGTGTCCACAACCCATATCACCTCACAAGACTATATTTGAGTTGTTGAACTTTTACAATTAACCTTTGCACAAACTTGTGAGTCGTGTCCAATTTATTAGGTTGTGTTGTGCAAACAAATTCTGGAAAGAGGGAAAACAACATGGAAGATAAAAGTCTTCAATAGGGTATAAAGTCTCAGTCTTCACGCTTCATAATCTTAGGCTCAAATATCGGTTTTAAGATTATGCTTGGCTCCAGAGCTGATGATTGCGCTTAAAAAAAAAAAAAGACCAAAAAACGCTTTTCCAAGCAAACAGAAAGCACATTCAGTTCTCCTGCGCAGTGGAGTTTAATTCAGGCACTGCTGATAAATTCAAACATTAAAAATACTGTCTGTGGTTTCTTCATGGAAGTTCTGAATATCCCATGGAGGAGTCATAATCTGTCATGTTATTCGGTTGGTGCGGTGATGCGCGGGTGCTTGGGTCACATGAGCGGTGAATGTCGGGTATTTTAAGATAGGCATGCTTGCCATTAGCAAGTGGAGAGACTGGAGCTGGGCAGCCTGATTATTATTTATTTTTTTTTTTGTGAACAGCTTCGTGATGCTACGCTATGCGACATGTGCCCCGGCCTATAATGTACACCGGGGGGTCACCAACAAAGACAGCGTGAGTGAAGCTGTGAGCCTGATCGGTGGTGGGACATCTTGATTTTCTAGGAATGTCGCCTCGGTGAATCAAGATGTAAACAATGGAAGAGAGTTTTGAAACAAAATGTTTCATATCTGTTTTCTTGTAAGAAATCATCATGTCTTCAAAGAAATTCATATCATTAGTTATTCATAAGAACGAGGCTACGGCTCTCCGACAAATCTTTTTAGAAGTGATTGTCCTATCGATTACTTCGTTGATTAGACGGGTCATTGCCCCACCCCCTGTTTCAAGGCAGAAATGTTTGTGTCAAATCATTTTTGTGGTCGGTCCTAATAATAGCATTTAGGTATGAATTGTTCGTTCAATAACTGTGGCATTGATAGCTTGTGGCAGTGTTTGCTGCACCCAATTTAGAATGATCTTTGCAAAGTCTGAATTTTTGATGTCATGCCCTTGGATCGCTTCAGATTGCGCACATGAACTTGGGTGATGATTGCACAGGCTGTAGATAAGTCAGACAACCTTTGAGACGTCGTCATCATCGTTATGAAACCTCTCCTACAGTGCTCAGAAAAATAAGCGTTTTATTCATTTCTCGGTGAAAGCATTTTCTGAATTTGAGAATGATTAGACTCATTTGTGGTGATGATATGATAGATTAACTCATATATTTGAGGAAAAAGACCATTTACAAACATCACCCTTAAAGATATGAATGCAGAGACTCGAGTATGTTTCAAAAATTGAAAAGAAAACATGCAAGGTAACAGTCCTTGTAAACCTCTTTGTGTGAATGGTGACATTGTACCGTACCACAAAACTATCACAAAGTCAGCTCCCAACCATAAAAAGTTGCGAATGTGAGTAGAACTTAGCACATATACCGTCATACTAATGGGCAGTTTCTGCAAGTGCAACTCAAAGCTCATGATTTCAACAGTGATCAATCGCAAATGATTTCATCATCCCGTTTCAGTTGACATCATTCTATGGCTTTTGCGAACAACAGGACGAGCGCAGAAGTGATTGACCATGCGGTCAAATCATTCGGGGGGAGGAAAGCGTGAGGAAAACATTTGTGAGCGCTGTGACATGTGGCCGAAGTGACAAAAGTGCATGGAGAGTGTTCACGACAAGCATGCATGCAATATCTGCGTCACTTTGGAGGGTCCGGCTTGGGCGTCCCTACATGAGTCGACAGCAAGGCTCCTTGTTGGTCGACTGGTCCTCCTCTGGAGCTCGCAGTTTCAGGAGCGGAGGATCTCCGCTGGCTGGTGTGAAGAACACCTGGCTGGGGGACGCTGCCGTCTCTGCGCTGAGTGTCCCCGGAGGACTCGCCACCTCGGACGCAACGGCAGAGGGGGGCTCCTCTTCTAGAGGTGGGGTCAGAGGTGGCGGAGGCGCTGGGCATTTATTGAGCTTGGCCGCCGCCCGCTGCCGTTTTAGGTCGGCCAACGTTTGGTGGGATTTTTCTCGAGTCATAGAGTCCGAGCCTTCTTCGTCCTGGGGCCCCGATGCTGCGTTGAGATGGTAAGAGGCGCTGCGTTCCATGTGACCTCCCCCGCTCCATTGCTCTCCGGGCACAGAGGAAGCCAGAGAAACTGATGTGCCTCCGTTACCGAGGCTGGACACACTATCGCTGACAGTAGCTTTGGGCTCACCGGCACGTGACGAGGCGTCACCTCCAGTCTAAATGTAAGGAAGGATCAATCAATTTATTGACGTTTGCGTGTACGGGCAACATAGTTCTTTACTATGGAATTGGTATGAATAAATTCAAAAGAATTTATAATCATGATCATAAATGTGACCGTGAACAAGAATAGAGGCAGAATGACCGGGTGAAATTATTTGAAATGTAAACCATTTTTTCCCCCCCCGCCGAAATAAGGATGACAGCTGCAGTTGCCAAAAAAGTGGATGATACGGGTGAGTTAGAAAAGTGAATAATGAAAGAGCTGAAGGGAAGCAGTGAGAAAGGGCCCCAGACGTCACCACGGTTACGGCGACGTGACTGAGCAGGTGATCATTATTTTCCTGGAACACCATCCGAGTGAATCCACAAATTCTATTTTTGAAACAGCTTCTTCAATTTCAGCGACAAGACAGTTTTTTTCTGGAGTTGCTCACATGCTGATGAAGTTCATTGTCAGTCAGACGGTCCTCATCATCATCTTGTGGTTCGGGCTGGCGGCCCCTCTCCTGCCACACCATGGCCTCTTTGTGATGCTCCCGCCTGTACAGGTTGGAGCGCTCGTTCACACTGACACGACGCACCACTTTCCTGTCCGGACAAACGAGACAGAAGTATATCAAATCTAATCCCACGTCTTTCCTTCATCACGATCGAGGAGCCCAACATCCGATTTTACCCTCTGCTGCCAGTACTCGAAGCTCGCTTTTGCAAGGTGCCTTTGTGACGGTCCTGGCTCTTCATGATGGCGTCATGTTTGTGCTTGAGGTCCATTAGTTTCGCTCTGACCTCCTCATCGATGCACACATCTTTAAAAACATTCAGGTATTATTAGTAGTAGGAGTATGAAAATGATGTTTTACATTTAACAACAACAAAACATGCCCAGGGGAGTCTCTTCCAGGATGGACTTTGTGTCTAAACTGGCTTCATGACCCACCAGCAGCTCCACCATTTGGATCTATGATGCAGATACAGACAGCATTATTTCCTCCTGCGCATTGTTTTGAGCGAGTTTGACTAGGAAGCCTGGGAGACTGCAGTACTAACTTGTCCCCAGCAGGAGGCAGCATGCAATGGCGTCCACCCATCGCAGTCCTTGACCTCCACCTGAGCCTTGTGCTCCAGCAATAGGTCAGCCACAGACAGGTATCCATTGGCGGACGCGATATGCAGCTAGGGGACACGTTCAATAAAAAAGCGGCACAAAAGAATCCACAAAGATAGAGCAAACGCAAGTATCAATATCAAGCAAATTTCACTGATGAAATGGTTTGTTTTATTTCATTATAACATGGAGAACCGCACTTTGGAGAGAAAATAGGGCAATATTTGCAGTTTAGGAAGAAAAATTCTCACCAGTGTTATCCCGCAATCATCCTGACTGTTCAAGTCGGCTCCGTCGCAAACGAGAGCTCGGATGTCAGCAAGCATCGCCGCCTCTTTCGCGCCTCTGCACTCATCTATGCGGGCCTGTGTTATTCCTGCACAAACAGACTCAATTTTGACTTTTGCTGCTCAATGATGCTTTTAGCCATCGGTCAAATGTCAAAATATTATTTGAGCCATCTCTCTGACCCTGTTCAGCCATGACCATCTCCAGGAGCTCAAGAGTGGCCTCATCCTCACAGAGGTCATAGGGCATGTTTCCATCCGTATTGACGGCCATCAGGTCGGCCCCACTGCAAGTAGCCGTACACACAAAAACGGGAAAAAAATGGTTGAGAGCGCAATGACTCCTACGTCAACATATTTAAAAAGTCTCCGGACGTAAACCTGAATGAAGCCTTACTAGGATTGTGTTAGGGCTAACTTTGAGAGCTCTCCACCAGTAAGTACTCTGGTCCAAAACAACAATGGAACCAGGAAGAGTAACTTAGAGCAGGAGAAAGTGTTCTTCGGTCAACTCACGCCTGAATAAGGAGCTGCACCAGGCCGGTGTGCCCACAGGTGGCAGCAGCGTGCAACGGTGTCCACAGCTCACTGTCACAGGCATTGACGCTGGCACCGGCGTCCAGCAAGCACTGCACCACGCCCACAAAGTCATCAATGCAGCACTGGCAGGACAGGACAGGTGGACATTTGCATTAAGCAAATTCTCAGAGGGAAAACAACAATACGTAGTGGCAATGTGCTTTTCGCAGAGGCGCTCGCCAGCCAAAACAGGACTTTTATGGCCTTGTGCTTGTAATCCGACTGGAATTGTTCAGGAAATGAATGCTCCCCTTAAAGTTAAAACCCTGGGAAAAAGTCATTGCGTCTGCATCATGACGATAAGTGAAGGCTTAGACCAAATAAAGACGAGCAGTGCCAGACAGAAACCGAAGAGCAGATGAATAACGCTGCACATTGTTGAACTGTTCAACCTTCAGATTTTGTTTAGAAAACATGCGCGGGCTGCAGTCGTCGTGACAGTCCAAATGAACCCGAATCCCACTTAAAGATTCCATCGGGCTCACGCATACCCAAAGTGACCCAAGTGATCGTAAGTCGCGTGTTTACCTGATGGAGGGCAGTCAGTCCATCTTCGTTGACCAGGTCGGGGCTCACGCCGCTGTTGAGCAGCTCCCTCACTAGGTGGCATCCACAAGTAGAGCCATAAACCTTCCATGAAATGCATTGCAGAAGTCTTGCTTCCATATATAGACATGCGTGTCAGTGGGCAAGCTAACAATGCACTTAAAGGATTTGCCTCTATTCTTAGCCTTGATCCCGCACCGGACAAAGGACATTGAAAGATGGTGAGCGTCAACTATACGTGAATATCTTCCTTCCATCCAATTTTTCCTCATCGCCGTACGAAGGAATGATCGCATCTGACCAAAGTAAGGCACCTACCCTCATCCAGGTCATTGCGTGCAGCTGCATCAAGAAGGGTGATGGCGCTGGGGAAGGTCACTTTTCTTGAACGCCGCTTCTTATCTGCTTTGGCTTTAGCGCCTCGTGACGAATCCTTCTCCACCTGGGCCCATGCCTTCAGTTGTTGAGCACGCCGCCTCTGGGCGTTTTTGAGGCGTTCGGCGGCACTCAGACGGCCGATGGTGGACATCTCAGCCAGTAACTCGCTGTGATCCGCAGCCATGATGCCACACCGCAGTCACCCGATGCTTCTGCTTCCTTTAGTTCAAGTGTTGTGAAGGCTGTATGCTTCCAAATAAGTCTGTTATGACATTGTGAGGGTGCAGGAATGCATCTACAAAAATAAAGCCCAAAAAAAAAAAAAAAAAAGAAGGACGTACATCCACTGATTCAAAGTTAAGTAGGGGGATCAGATGACAGATATCGCCGTGGTTGCAGAAAGGAGCAACACGTAGAATGACTGCAATGTCTCTTTGCCATCTTTCACACCGGAAGTTCGATCATGACAGGAAAAATGAAAAATGGGTCAAAACCCAAAAGCAGTCAAGCTGAGGATTGCAGCCGATCATCATTCCTGCTCTCCATGCCATTGGTGTGATGCTTGGTCAATGATCCACCGTGGAAGTCCAATTTCCTATGCGGTTAGATGTTGTCATTCATATCGGTGTTGATTGATTTCCGGACGCGGGTCCAAACTAAGGGATCGTCTCTAAAAACCTTTTGTAGATCCAAGTAGCTGCTATTCAAACACTCACACCGTGTCAGCAGCAGTTGATGCTTGCGGTGCTCTCCAAAATCTTTGGGGTGGTGATTGTCGATGATTCAAAAGTCACCGTAGATTGCGTTGCAGCCGGTAACTTTCTGGCCGGGCCTTCTGGGAACCGGGTTGGGCCACACAAGTCTTCTGGCGGCAACTGTGGGAAGGGACACTTGATTTATTGAACATGTTACAGTACAACGTACAAGCAGCTCTCTCCTACACTTGTAACCGTTAACTCTTGAGCTATTCCAAGTAACTCCCTCCCCCCTCTGCCCCTCATCTCCTGAAAGAAACCCGAGACGGCGGGACACTCGTCATTAATGATTGACACACCTCGCGGCCCAACTTTTCAGGCGTCGGGCATAAACGCAGGGTAAGACAGAGGTGAGGTGGATTGAACCCGGTCTAGGACATGAGACAGGGCAACATCGTAGCCTGGCATGCTTCAAGCAAGATCTCATTAGCGGAACACACTGGGCAACGTCTACACACACTTGGCTCTTTCTCAGTGACGCATAAATGATTTAGACGCAGGTCTGTGAGCGCCGAGAGGAAGGTCAGCACCAGGCACGCGGTGAGATAGAGAGTGACGGCCAGGGCCTCCTACACAGGATGGGGATTAACGGGCCAACCTTGGCATGACACCAAGCAATGTTTGTCATTTTCTCCTTTACAACTTTGTCAAACTATGTTGAGGGTGGCAACTTTGTTTCTACGCGTCAGGAGTTCCTTAGATTGAGGCAACAGCTTAACACGCCGCCCTGGGCTGGCGGCCTCCAGCAAAAAAACACAATCCCCCCTCAGACCAATGTTTTTTTCCATTTATAATGGAAAAAACATGCTCTTCGTACAGGTGCTGTAAGTGCCACAATTTCCACGTCGACGGTGAATCGGAGGCCTGTCAGACAGAGGGAAACTCGGATGCAGTTAGCCAATGAAAAACAACATCATATGCGTCATTTGAAAAGGGTTTGAAAGGATGAAGGGATTGGAGAAATGAGGTAAATCCCCACAGGAACGTTAACCGTGGTGTTAAGAGGTGTAATTCCACACACAATTGAAGTTAAAACTGAAGTGCTCTCAACAAAAGCACCAATTGGACTGAGAAATCATTGATTTTGCAATGGAAAATGTCTTACAGGCTGGTATTCATGATGATTACAAAAAATAAAAACATTTTGACAACAACAACAACAACAAAAAATCGACAGCATTGAAACAAAAGCGCCCACGCAGTGCATTAAAATTGACAGCATTGAAACAAAAGCGCCCACGCAGTGCATTTTCTGTCTGCTTCAGGTCCAAATGGGATCTGGCAAACAAGTCGAACAAGATGAAGTCAGCCAAGGAACTCAAGAATCTCCCTGATAAGAGACTAATTACGCTTCCAAAAGCAGCCTGAGGTAGAAGTCTTCTATTTGATACCGTTCGAAGCCCGCTGCGGCTGATCATACGTGTCGATATGCGGGTATATTAGACGACTTATCAGTGTTGGTGTTTGATGGGCCACTGCCTGCCTTCAATAGGTGTCCATTGTAATTAGACCTATTCAAAGGTGTTGAATTGTACACATTTTGCATTCTGGACAACGGTCACGCAAAAAATAAATAAATAAATAGTCGGCAGATTCCAAGTGAGTATGATAACTTTCAGATAAGATATTTATAGTTAACCAGTACAATCAAACAAATTGTAGTTTAATATTTGCTTTTATGTACAGAAAATAACAGACAAACCCTCCAATCTCAGCACCCAATCCAAGATTTTTGTTCCTGTTTCCTGAAAAATCCATGAAAGGGTCTTTTAACTTCGTAGACAGGTTTTGCTTGGACAAATTCTGATCTCATACACTTAAGTAAAAAAGGTTTTGACTGATGGGCAACACTGAGTTCTGGCCGTTTGACTTTGTGGACTGATATGATAAAATGTGAAGTACTAAATCACTGATATTGTACAAACCGCTAGTGTCGAATGGAACACAAACACACACACGCACGCACGCACGCCTACACACACACACACACACACATCCACACACACAGAGAAATATGAAGAAATATCCAGCGCCTGCTGAAATATTCCTGGGTCAATCTGACATTTGTGGATTTTTTCCACCTCACGACTTAACAGGAAGGGCAGTCCAGAGCTGCTCTGACACATACACTTTCATTCAACCAGGGCAATGAATAGAGCCCTATGAAACACACGAACACGTCGCTGAAGCATTCATCACGCGGGCGGGAGCAAAACTCACAGGAACAAAGCCCCGCTTAAATCCCAGGTTGGCTCTGGCCTAAAATGTGGCAACATTCGGGAGTATGCGGGTGGTCGTTTTCATGATGAAATGGCGCGGCACGGGCATTGTGCGGCCCGCCGCAGCTGAGCTGTTCGATGAAACAAAGCTGAGTTCAGTGCCGATGATTCTTGAATGACCCTCCGGCGGACGCCAAGTGAGCTAATCTGCTTGCCAAATCATCACGCGCCATGTTTGTGCGAGTCAGCAGCGTGGGCTAAAGGTTTGGCTAATGTCATCGGAACCGTTTCAAAAGATATGTTACAGAAAGTTGCACGGGACATGGAGGTGTCCTTAAACATATTTTTGATGCTGGTTTTAAAAATGTTTTCACTTTTCTCCTCACACATCTGCTCCCCCCCCCCCCATTTTCATTTTTGGTTTTTAAGTTTGACCTATAAAAGCCTGCGCAATATAGACTTTACCATGCACTGCAATTAATAGTTGTGATGTTTCAGAAAAAAATGTCCACGTGTTGCTGATCACCGTATATTTGTTATTTTATTCTGTTTATTATTGTTATGAAACTTGATTTACTCAAGAAAAAAAAACTGATTTCAAAATATTTCTGGAAAGGTTTACTTGCATCTCTGATTTACAAATTTATTAAAACATTGTATAATTGTATTCAGTATAATGTGAATATGTGGATAGTGTGTTTTAATATTGTAGATAAATTGCACACATAAAATCCTCCTCCATCGCTCCACCTGATACTCTGCTCAGTTAAAAAAAAAAAAATAAAAAACAAACACGACCAATATAATGTATAATGCCTTGTTGCAACACTGCTTTCTCAAACCTTCAATAAAAACTAGTCACAAAAAGATAAAATATTGTTCATGTGAAATGAAAATGCACCAGGTACGCTTTAGTCATACGATCAAAGCGGACCAAGGTCCACTAACTTCAATACGTTGTTGAAATGTCACCTGACCTTTACTCGATTTCCTCCAAGTTCTGACACCATAAACGCTGCCGCTGGGTGTGCACGTGTCAGCTAAAGTCTGCCTGCTAATCTTCATTTCATTTGTATACTGGTAAAATAGGCAAATGTTCGACTGTATGTAGTGTACTGTACATACCTGAACAAGAATGGGTAGTGTACATATGATTCAGAGCTTGCAAAACTGGATGGACAAGAATGCAAACATTGATGATATTTAACCGAACTAAAATGTGTGTGAGGTCGGGCCTCTGTTGAGCCCTTTTCAGAGTGACACGCCCAATTCCAACAAAACTACATGAAGCTTATTTGAACCCCGAGGCAAAATATTCACCTCTGTGATCCAGCCCGATACCGGCTTCCTGAAAATGACTTTTCCTCGAAAATGAAATAAAATAAGATGAATGCACACTTAGTGTCTTGTTCATTTCTTAAAAACGCATCAATATCAATCCGATTTCAGGGATGTTTGTATTATAGGTGCAAAGCCTACTCTATTTATAGTACAATTCATTACTTTTACTTTTCATGGTGATGTTCAATATCATGGCAGAAGTAAAATGAGTTGACATAATAACATGAAACAATTGCCATGATGATCGCTGACCATTCGTAACATTAGTGCATGAAGAAATAAATGGATACAAGAATTGACAGTAGCGACATATGACGGATGGAAGGAGCCGAATAGCTCAGCTCGCCTCAACAGGTGCTCATCAGGCAGGTAAAGTTGGCGGTTCGTTCAACTTGCTCGACTTCGAGAATCCAACGAAACCGCGAGCGCGTAAAACCAGCGAGTGTGTGTTCTGTGGTTTCCCTCGGGCCGGTTTTCGAACGCCCGCTGAGTTTCGCTAGAATCTACTTTCCCAAATTCTTCTTCCGTGTTCGCATCCACGAGAGGCAGCTTCGCTTTGCTTTTCAGCAGCGGTGTCGCGCGCACAGCTAACGGGGACGTCATTTCATGAACGGCCTAACCACTGCGTGCAGTATATTTTGTAAAGGTAAAATGCAGAATTCAAAACGAGGTTTCTTACCTGCGCCGTTGGCCGTGTGCGTGGAGGAGGGCTCCGGTGCAATTGAGCCAGTCAGCTGTTGCCTGCTGCTCCTGCCACGGCCGGCCCCTCCAGGGAAATGCTTCACCATAACAACCACTCTGGCAAGCTCTCCTCCTGCTCTCCGTCTCCGCTGGAGGGCGCCAAAGCCACATATACAGCATCAGCATCATCATATTAATAATAAAAATAATCATTATTATTAGAATAATAATAATGTGCATGTAAATAAACGTGTGCGTCTTGGGGTCCTTATGCAGAAACAAAAAACTTTAAAACTTAACATAAATTAACAGCAGTATATATTGGTAAGATTGGGTCAGGACGGTGAAAATATGACACTGACTCAACCATGTCAAAGGAACAATCAGTAAAAAAAAAAAATCCAGACGTATGACAAAAATGCTCTGTTAAATATGGACAAAATACATACTTACATGCAAAATACGTGATCTTTATACACTTAATTTTTGCTCATACATTTTCCAATGCATGAATAGAAGATCTACTACTCTCATCCAACAACAAAGGATTTGAAGCGAACAACTGACTCCAGCAGAACATGTGTTATACGATTCAGGGTACTGAATTGTCGCATTGACAAGCTTCTACTTGAGCCTCCATTTCCGGACCTTCCCCCTCATGTAACGATCCTTTTTTTTAATCTTTTAACTCAGATTATGATCTTTCATTCCCTTTTGAAAAAAACGTTTTTCATGTTGCAAGCACAATAGAGGCAGGATATGATGCATCAACAAGTAATACATTCTAATCGAGCAGGGATTCTCAGTGTGGTAGAAGTACCACCTCATGTAACGATCCTTTTTTTTTAATCTTTTAACTCAGATTATGATCTTTCATTCCCTTTTGAAAAAAACGTTTTTCATGTTGCAAGCACAATAGAGGCAGGATATGATGCATCAACAAGTAATACATTCTAATCGAGCAGGGATTCTCAGTGTGGTAGAAGTACCACGAGTCGCTTGTGGTACACGGACTCCCTCTAGTGGTAAGCAATAGCATCACTGCCTAAGTGCGGTTGAGACTATACTTTGCATTTAACGGTTTGTTTGAAACAAATATTCAAGTGCACTTTTCATATTGTATGCAATACTTTTTAATTGAATCATGACGTATATTTTTACTCTATTCAAGCACGGTGTTTGTTCAAACAACTCATTTTGTTACACTGACATACAATGATATGAAATAGACGTTTTTAGAAATAAAACATCATCCTGATTTTTGGATGAAGGCTTAGGCCTACTATGCTTCTGTATTTCAATATTGTTCATGATGGTTGTACTTCGAGGTGAACGGAGAGCATTTATTTGGTGGTACAGTACTTGGTGTAAAAGTTAGAGTCGCTGCAATAGAGGAAGTAAGAAAACTTTACATGAAAAAATATCTTTCAAAGTCAAAATGGGATGGACCAATACAATGTCCCCACACCTCCGCCAACGCAGAAGTAATAAGAAATGTCCCTGCCACTGAAGGCCTTCACTTCATTTCTCATCTTGGGATGGGCAGGATGCATCCCTGGGCAGCTTTAAGGGGATTTGTCCAGACACAATCAGTGAACAGTGTTGCTCTAGAATAGCCGCTTTCCCATTCATATGGTTTGCTATTCTTCTCCACCATAGCTCACTAATCCAGGCCAAACCTATTAGACGACACTCCAGCACACAGGAAGAGGTCGATCGACAGTTTGTATTTAAATCACTGAGCACTTACTTTATGCATGCAAATTGCGCCGAGTGAACGGTTGTGCGTGTCGCCTGCACATGTTTGATTTCAATCTTACACAAAAGGATGTGCATCAAATCCATTAGATGAGTATCAAAATGCATTTGGGGCAAATTGTAAAGGACGGCGTTAGAATTCTAACGCTGCATAATAAACGGATACTGAGTCTAAACCACTAGAGGGAGACACACTTTTTTTTTGTCTGGGCTATGATTCAGAAGTCAATGACCAGCAAGCTGCAGCAGATAAAGGCTAGGGAAGTGATCAAAAAAATTGAGAGGGACTGCGAAGGTGACGAAACCAGCAGAATCACGTGGTAAGACCTATTTTTTATTTTTAAGAAATTGAATTGAAATTTAACATCTCGTGCAGCATGCGTACAAACAACTAAATATTTTGCCTCAAGCTTTTGAGGGCTGTAAAGTGGGATCAAGTAATTTCAGAAATACAACATGAATGACGAGCCAAAATTTGGCATCTAAAATTACATGTTTGAATAAAATAACTGCTGACACCAAAAAACAGGTAAATGTTTACTGTGAGAGACAAGATTGGGCCAGTAGAAGAATGTTTGACATCAGTAACCACATGCTAAATGTCGGTGTTGCCAATTGGGTACTAAAGTGGGGTCAACACAGGAAAGTGTTTGAAAAAGGTTAGCACCATGTGCCCCAAAATGTGATTTTTT